GCAATCCCTTCTCCTCCATTCTCCTCTCGGGATCTTGGGCACGCACGCACACGTGCCCTGGCCAGGGTTTAAATGGACGTGTTTGCTTGTTCTTTTGTGACGGGTACTGTCTTCTTCCAGAAGAGGAAAAGACACAGTAAGAGGCATCCCAGCAGTGCCCTCATGCCTCGGCCACCCCAGACCCAACCAGCACTGCCACAATGCATGTGCTGGCATGCTCGGGGAGGCTGGGATCAATTGGGCATGCTCACTGGACCCTAACCACACGTAACCAGTGTGACAGCCTGACCCTAGGGCGCCTCACCTGAGCCACTGGGACCAGACCCCACTCCTGGGATTCAACTCCACATTGCCACACCCTCAGCTCCCCGAGGGCCCCCAGCCGGGGTCCCTGAGCATGCAGCAAACACAAGACACCCTAATCTGTCCCCATGCAAACCCCCGCAGAGTCCTGGCTGGGGGTGGCTGCGCTCAGGGACAGTGCCCGGGCACATAAAGATGAGGGAGGGCCCCTGCAGACAGCCATGATGGCTGGGACCGCAGCTTCCTAGCGAGCCACCTGAAACACTGAGTCGTGGTCTGCCCTGTGGCCTGCCTCTCGGCTGTATGTGTTGTAGAAGGCTGGGCCATTCCCACCGCCAGCCCCTCTCCAAAGACCGTCGGCCAAGGACTGGTCTCCCAAATTGGTGGCAGATTCGCCACAAGCGTGGAGAAGGTCGTGCATGCGTCCAGGCCAGCGACCCACTGCCACGTCCATTTTCCACCTCGGCTGCAATGGTGCATGGCGCTGGGCCACGCTGCTGGCTGGTGGTAGCCCGGCGTGCCTGCTGGAGGAGCTTTGAAGGCCCTGCTCCCAGGCAGCTTCGGCCACCTGGCGCTCTGCATGCCCCTAGCACTCCCACCCCGGTGAGTTACTGGAGAGCCCACTGTGCCACTAACCCAGCGCCCTTGCCACTCTGCAGCTGTGCCCACCGGCCACACCGCCCTGCACCCCAGCACTGCCTCACCTTGATGGGCTCCCCATGAGGGGACACCACCTCGCCCGACAGCTCCATCATCCGCAGTGCCATCAGCGCGATCTGGATGGCGTGGGTCTCGCTTTCCTTGTGCAGCCCGCCTGCCACGCAGTAGGCGTCACCTATGGTCTCCACCTAGACAGGGCATTTCCGCATTGCAGACACCACTCTCGGCAGTCATAGCACCCTTCACCACCCAGAGAGGGCCCACGCAGCAGAGACCGGTGCCCAAGCAGGATGGGGAAGGAGGACGAGGATCTGGGTCCAGCCCCAGCGTCAGCTGCGTCAGCCTGGCCACCGCTCCCTCCTGGTAGCAGGGCCTGGCTCTCCATCTGTCTCCTGGGTCCCAACAGAACCAGCCACAGCAGAAGGGGTGACCTCCCTCAGCCTCACAGCAGAGAAGGCGGAAAAGCAGCCTCCTTGCAATCCCAAGGGAGGGCATGTTCTCAAGACAGAAAGTCCTGCCGGTAAATACAGCCAGTCCCCCCAGAGGCCGTCCCTGAGCCAGTCAGGCAGGGCTCATCTGTGATCATGCAAGGCCTCTTTCTTCCCAAGGGAATCATGGCTCTGTCTGGAATTTCCTGTTAGAAGTTCCAAAAGGAAAGTTTTACTGCTGGCATCTAAAATGAAACAAGGCAAGAGTTTATGTCCTCCCATAAATAACAGCCATTTCCTCAATCCATGTATCTCACATCAGGTTGAGCTCTGAAGTGTTAGACTGTTCTCTGGCAAATTAAGATGATTCAAGACATACAGATGAGAAGCATGCTCTGTCCTAATGCCAGGGTCACATAAGCAAGATCGTTTAAATCAGCAAAAGCTGTTTTCACTCCAAAGGGACAGACAGTGCTGGAATGCTCCTCTTGAGCCCTCCTAGTAACAGTCACACGAAGCCCCATGACGTGCTGTTAGGGTAACTGGATCCCAGGTCCCACTGGCCTACAGTTCAAGTCCTGGACCTGGTGGCCTGAGGGGTACACGGGAGCTGCCCATGCCCAAAGTCTTGAGAGGAGGGGGAGACCCAGAAGGGACTGTGGCGTGACCACTGCCCCATGTGGTGCTTCCTCACTCCCCTCCCCTCTGGGTCTCTCTAGCGAGTGCGTGTGCCCTCTGATAAAACAGCAAACAGAAAGGACCAGCCATTGCTGGAGCCCCGATGCCAGGTGCGGGAGGCCCTCTCCCCCAGCACCTGGTCAAGAGCAGGCTCTTCCACCAGGACCATCACCCCAGCCCCGCTCTAAGACAGTGGGTCACAGACAGTGCTGGACGGTGTGTTTCTGTTCCGGAAATGAGAAGTTCCTTGCTTGCTCAGTCCCAGGCGTGCAGGTAGAAAACGGCCTTCACAGCCAGGCTGCTCTTCTCCGAGAGCTTCTGCCGCTGACCAAGCTGCACCGTGCCTGAAGCAGGTGCTTGGGCTCTTGGCGCCAGGCTGGCAGAGGCTCAGCTACAGAATCCCTAACCTGGGGTTTCTTCGTGGTTACTGATGGGAGGGCACGTCTCTCTGGGGAAGTCCTTCCTTGACCTGCCTCCTGCCTACAGACTCACTGGGAGGACCCTGCCCTCTGACCCCACCTCTGCAAGGCCCCTCCCTGTCTCCCCTCCCTTCTTGCAGGCTCACTCTCTGGGAAGCCAGTACTGTAGGGCCAGGACCAGTCCCTAGCACAGCTGAGTGATCCAGTAGAGGACCCCAACTGTGGTGGCTGCAGGGCCCCAGGGAGGCCTTCCCAGCCTTCCCACCCCGGTGCCAGGCAGGCGCTCCGGCTGCGAGCCCTACCTTGTAGACGTCCAGCACTCCGCACTGCTGGTCGAAGCGAGTGTAGAGCGCGTTCAGCATGGTGATGACCTGCAGCGGCGAGCACTGGGCACAGATGGCTGTGAAGCCTACGATGTCCGAGAAGAGCATGGTGACGTGCTGGAACCTCTTGGCCTGCACGGCCTGGCCCTGCCACAGCTGCCGCGCCACCTCGCAGGGGAAGATGGAGCACAGCAGCTCCACCGTCCTCCTCTTCTCCTCCTCCAGTGCCCGGTGGGCCTGTTCCAGGGTGGCCTTCAGCTTCCCCAGCCTCTTCTTCAGGCCATCTTGGGCCCGGGCCTGCTCCCCGATCAGGACCACGTCACGCAGCGCGTTGTGGATCGGGATGTCGGAGAGGTACAGCCCCCGCCCTGTGAAGTCCTCCAGTCGGTCCACGCAGGGCGAGCCCAGGAACAGGATCGCACTGGACTCGGCGAGGTAGACCATCTGGCCTTTGAGGTCCATGACCTGAGGGGAGGAGAGGCGTGTGGCCTGACCCACCCCCGCGTCTTCTGAGCTGGCAGGCGAGGAAGGAGGAGCGGGGACCCCGTGTTTAAACCCGCTCCTCGCCCACCAGGGAGGACGACAAGCTTCCCGGTGGGGACACGGGGCCTCCCCTCATATTCCGTGATGACCGACGGACCAACAGCTCCCCGCACCTGTTAGGTATGGATCGGAGACCCACTCACTCACCTCCTATAGCAACAAACTTGCTTTTACTATAAAATAACACCTCGTATCATTCCGACTAAGGTAGCTATTTGGTGATCATTGAAAACACAGCTTCATGTAAGTGTCTTTCTTTTTGAAAAAAGAACATTTATTTATTTCTTTATCTGGTGTGATTTTCAAGCTGCCAGGCCTAGGACTTACACCACCGTCAGCCATGTGGGAACCCAGCACCTTCCTGCTGGCCGTGGAAGTGTTTTTCTACTCTGGCCATAAAATGCTCCTTAAGGAACAAAAGGTGACTACATTTGGTGGAGATTTGAGAAATGAAAAATCCAGAAGAAAATGGATTCAGAAAGGATTTTGTTTCCAGCTTATTTCTACTTTGAAGCACATCAAAATTGTCAGAAAAGGCGTTTGAGGTGACAGGATGTCTGCCTCGTCCTCCCTGGGCCTTCCCATGGGCGACCACTCCCACCCACGTCCCGGTGGCTCTTACCCTGGAGGGCTTCGGCACGGCGTGGTCCCCCCTCCTCACGCGTACCACAAACTGCAGGTTCAGCACCGTCATGACCCCGTCAAACGTGGGGGGGATTTTCGGAGTCAGAATCTCAAAATACTCTTCAAACCTGGGCTTCCCCTGGAAGTCCCTCCTGCTCATCAGCCTCCGGATGCCACTGCCGAGCTGCAGGACGCCCATCTCCCTGTCGAACATGAAGTGGAACGGGAACGTCTTGCAGAAGAGGGAGGCGGGGATGGCCAGCGAGGACGCGGGTTTCCCTGGGGACAGGGCTGGCCGGGTGCTGGTCACATGTGCAGAGAGCAGCAGGCAGGGCTGGCGTGCCCACTCGCTGCTGAGGTCCTGGGGGTGGGCAGGTGGCGAGGACACATCCACCTCGGTTTCATACAGCACGCGAGCAGCGGCCTTGACGATGCCGGGGAGGATGAGGGCCGTGACCCTCTGGGGGGAGAAATAGTAAACGTTCAGGATGTCGGGGCCATGGTCCAGGCACAGGATGGAGGCACCCTCATGCTGGCCCCTCTCTTCTGCTTCCTGGCAGTGGCCACCCTGCTTCAGAAGGGGGCCGAAGCTGTTGAGGAAGTCCTTGAGGGAGCCTCCGACCACGCCCAGGATGTGTCCATCCTCCTCGTAGCACATTTGGAAAAGCTCTTCACCAAGCGATGTCTTGATGAGCTCGGCTGGGACCCCTGAAAGCACAGATGACGTTTTCTGCCTTGTCAGAGACGCCAACGTGGCGGTGACCTGCGGCTGACCGAGGTCCCCTTCCGCTGGCAGGTGCGGAGCCTGTGTTCCAACGGGCTACACTGCTCAGTTTCTGACGCTGCCCTGACTGGGTAAAAGCCCCACCTCGGGTCACTAAAAAGGAGTGCCCATCTGTGCGTACTGCACTTTTTGTCTCCCTTGAGCATCGCTATAAAAGAAGAGTTGGAATCTGGGACTAAATGAATGTGTTTCCTACAAAGCCCCCCACGGGGCCCCTCTGAGGGGCCTGGCACCTGTAAGCCAGGACTGGCAGCAGTGCCCTCTTTGGAGCCCCCCAGACGTGCGCCTGGCTCCTGGGAGGGGCCAGTGCAAGTCGGCCATTGCTGTCATCACTGGCGTCACCCACACCCTTTAGTCTCATGAAGCTGTGCCCTTTGGCCCATATGCTCAGACTCCGGAAAGGATGGCAGAACAAACGGTCCCTCTGTTTCCCGCAAGGTAACTGTCAACCTGAGAACACAGCCCTTTCCCCATGGCTGCTTCCACCCTTAAACACTGCTTTATTCTGTAGAGTGGAATCCCATGCAGAAGTGAGGCGTGCCTAAGCTCCCTCTGAGACCTGGGCCTGCACATCTCAGGGCCCCTGCCCTCAGCCCTCCCCACTTCTCAGCAAACAAGAGGAAACGCTAGGTCTCACGGAACTGCAGTCTGAAAGTTAGTCTTCGCGTTATCGCAATGTGCTACACTGAGCCTGTCACACTGAGATGCTGCGCCAAACCAGGGTGTCAGTTGTGGGAAAACACTGGTTCTGCTGACACGGGGCCTGCCAGTCACACACACGTGTCACGCACTCGGCACTTCTGTTACCTGCTGCTGCTGCGCGGCCAGCAATTATTTCTTCAAAGTCTTCTCTTTCCAAAGGTTTCCTGGAAATATTTGAATACCTTGGATTATAAACTGACAAATAAATACTAAAACTTCAGATTATAACATACAGAAACAATAGCAGAAGACCATTTGAGTCACTTTTCTGGAGAAGCAACTTTTGACCATCAAGTTTATAGGAAAAAAGTAATAACACATCCAAAGCAATGCTGGAAAACTCCAAAGTGCAGAGGACATGGCTCTGAAGCTAAGTGTGCATGGGCTACTCCCAAGGAGAGGTCGCGCCAGTGGGGACCCAGGAGCAGAAGCAGCCACTCAGGAGGGTAACCCGTCAGTCCCGTGACTTCCTGATGACCCGGCCACGGTGAGAAATCCATGTGCAGATGGGTTTCATGTTTAAGTATCACTGTTTGGTTTTTTTTCCCCCTAGAGCAAATACATAGTATTTCTTGCTTTTCGATTAAGGCTTATGTGTCAGACATCATTCCATTAAGTTTTTATCTTTACTCTTACATAAAAACTTGGTAATAGGAGCCTATTCTTTAATCAATCTGCACTCACTTCCACGGCATGGAAGCTGACAACAGGACAGCACCTCTTCATTGATAGGGTGTTTCAGGACTTTCAACTAGAAACGTATGAATTCATGTCTGCCTAATCATTTCTGATAATTTTTTATATTGATACAAGTTAATTTTGAGGGGAAATTTTACAATTCATGTTATAATTACATTTTCTATGGGCTATTAAAAGACTGATCATATTAAAAGACACCCAGGGGTCTATCCGTGGCGCAATTTGCTGTATTCTGAAGACACACAAATCTAAAACTTTGAGCTGATTTTAATAAACCCTGGTGTATGTTGAGAGGTTTCAGAAGGAAGTAGGGTTGAGGGGAGGAACTGCTCAGGCTGTGACTTTACCAGTAAAGAACGTTGTGTTTGACTGTTTAAAATCCTAGGTGGAAAGTGTTCTCTCTAAGTGGGTTGAGGATAATCGCATGGTGCAACATCCAGTGTGGATTTAGAGAGCCGGAGTCCCTGTTACCTGTTTCTCTGTGTTAGTATCTTCAGGTTAGTTCATTTTCTCAGGGAAGTAACAGCCAGCGTGTTTCTAAGAACAGGGTGCATCTGCTCGGAACGCACCCACCGCCTGAGACGCCGTTTGCGCGGCACAGGACACAGTAGGGCTCACATGGATCCCCTTCAGAAATGCAGGCAGGCTTACACGTGCGCGTGCACCACACACGAGGGCAGGCTGTTCTGCCGTTCCTCAAGGGCCATTTTCTGTTTAGGATTTTGGGTGTGGTTTGCTTTTAAGGCGATGGAAGATGGTAACCATTATCTTATTGGGGTTAAGCTCTGTTCCGCGCTTGGTTGGCTGAGAGCCCGGGAACGGACACTGAGCCGTCATGAGAAAAGGAAACAAACAGGAGGCCCCAGGGCTTCACACAGAGTGGAGGCGCCCACAATCAGCAGGCGGTCTGGGCGTGCAGTCTTGCCGGATCAGCTGAGTGAGCTGATGGTTGTGAGGACACGTGAGGCAGATTCGTCTCTGCTCTTTTTCGTTAAGGGATCAGGAAAGTGGTGACAGATCGCTTTCACGATTTCCAAATGAAGTGGTTCTTGTTTGTCTTACATTGAGATGTTGAAGAGATAGTCTGGGCTTGCTAATCTGTGCATAGCCACAGAGACGGCTCAGAACATGAGCTCCCAGGAAGCCTGCTGCAAGGACTCAGCCCGGCGGGCACGGTGACGGGGAGGCTGGAGGCCTGTGGACGGAGGCCGCCGTCAGACGCACAGTGCACGCTCACTCCCGGCGCAGCCCGGGTCTCCTGGCGTGCCCACAGCCTGCAGCTCACAAACACTCCTGACGGTGGTATCGGTCCTCACTTCAAGTGTGAGTGTGCAAACTCGACCTCGAGTGCCCATTTCATTGTTTACGATGGAAACAACCCTGAGATTTCAGGACTCAAAATCAGGCCCGGTCAAGTTACCCACCAGCAGTAAATGCAGCCACTTGTGTTTGGAAACTTAACTATACAAGAAAGATGTTTAAAAATGTCACCTTATATTAAGTTTCTTCTAAAACCTTTTTCATGGAAAAATTCAAAGACAGAATACAAGAAAAAAGGCATAGACAGAGCGCATAGCGCCTAGTTTCATCACGCTGGCTGTGAGCGAGCAGAAATACCACCCTCATTGCCTGGCCAAGCCCCAGCTCCCCCCACCTTCCCCGACGCAGCGGCCTCAGGTCTGACTGTAGTTGTGTGCGTGTGCGTGCGTGTGGTCGCAGGGGAAAGGACAGTGCCTGCTGGGTCCTCAGTAACCCCGTCACAGGATTCTGGCCCAACCCCTGGGACCCCTGCTTCCCTGCTGGGAAAGATCTGGCAATCCCTGCACAAAAGGCCACATGTCCGCCCCACAGAGCTGGACCACAGTGCACATGGGGATGTGGCTAAATCACAGCTTTGGGAACCCAGGCCTGAATCCCACCCCTGTCTTTTCCAGAACGCTCTGCAAACCCGAGCTCAGCTGTCTGTGCAAACAGGAATGTGCGCGTCCTCACTTCCACATCCGCAGCAGCTGAGCCCTCGGCCCAGTTTCCACCAAACCGCAGCGGGTCACCAGCTGCTGGCGGGGCGGGAGCTCCGACCACAGCACCGGTGGTCGCCGGGCCTCACACAGGAAGAGGCGACACTCACCTGCCTTCTTGTATGTCATGCTTTGCCAGTGTTCTCTGAAAGGCAAGATTCAGCCACTCGAACTGAAAATAGAAAATAAATGGTTTAAACACTCCCTTAAATAATGATCTGTAGAGTGCAATTGAAGACATGTGTTTAAAAGGGCACCCTGCCATTTTCCCCGAGGGGAGCCTCACTGTTGGACAGCAGCAGGTGTCACACGGAGTCTGGGCCCTGTCCTCTGGGCCGGCCCCAGAGGAGGGGCTGCCAGTGTGGGAGTCAGGCAGTCCAGTCCAGGGTGGTCCACACACGGACTAGGCCCGTGAGACCAGGGCTTCACAGACACCACGCGGTAACCCAGCCATCGCCTCATCTGGGCCAGCGGATCCTGTGGGTTCAGGCTCCACTCACGGGAGCCCCACGATCCTGTTCCTCCACAAAGTCCACACCCAGGCACCCACAACCCTCCTTAACCACGCGCCCACGCGAGAGACGAAGCCCACAAGCTTTCCAGGCAAAGCCTTTGCCTGTCAAAGTGGCAACCCCACCGGCCAGACAGCACTGTCTGTGGGACTGTCACAGTGGCAGCCTGGGGCTGGAGGCAGAGCCAAGCCCATGGGAGCACCACGCCCAGAAACTCTGCTGTTTTGTAATGGAGCCCTGAACTGCAGTACAGGAGTACCTCATGCAGCCTTCCGTAGGCAATGGGGTCCCCTCATATCTGCCCCTAAGGTCCTGGTATGCTGTGGGTCGGGGTTTCTGACCCTCAGAGGGGACACTTGTGAACAGGGTGTTATTCTTGAGATTGTTTCTTTTACTGAACAACTATCTTCTGGCTCAATGGAGGACAGACATGCACTCACTGATCAGACCAGCCCCACATCGGGACAGTGCCCTGTGAGAAGGTCAGGGACAGCTGCCAACTGGGGACATTCTGGGTCTCTGTGGGCAGAGTTTTGCTGTCATGGCTTTTACAGACAAGTGACTGTTTCACTTGGTTTCTAACATCTGTACAGTGTGAATATTTCCTAGGCCAATGACACTTTAGTCCGTAAAGATAAATTATAACCCTGCTTCTCCCTTCTTTCACTGTTCTGGAGCACGTCTGGAGCACGTCTGGAGCGCTCCTGCCTCTCTCAGCTCTTCCTTCTTTCATTGTTCTGGAGCACGTCTGGAGCGCTCCTGGATTGCTCCTGCCTCTCTCAACCTTTCCAGTGTCCATAGACCTCTGGGCTGGCTGGTGCTGTCACATGGTATGCGAGTCTGCTCTGACTTGACAGGGGGTCTGTGTCACAGATGTGGCCGATTCTCCATGGCAGACATTTAAGAGGTGCCTGAGAAGCCCCAGTATTGCCGAGAGCAAAGCCATGAAAATGAGCAACCAGTACTGTAGGAGAAGACCAGTAGATGACGCTGGGGTGTAGACGTCTTCCATTGTTCCAGTTAGCTCCCTTATTTTAAGCAGGTGGTCTAACTTGTGTACTCCGATTTCTTTAAGCACAAATAGAATCACATTTTCTTTTCTTTCTTTCTTTCTTTCTTTTTTTTTTTTTTAAGATTTTTGCCATCAGTCCACTGGATGGCACAGAGGTAACATCACTTGACTCCATGTGGCCAGCTGTGGTTCAAATCCCAGACCTGGTGGCCTGGATCTCTCATCAGGTGTCTCTGTGTGTGCGAGTCCAGGATCCCAGGGGGAGACGGGAAGACAGGGGTGTGTGGGATGGTCACTCCCCCATGGGATTGATTTCTCACTTTCCCTCTCACTGTCTCTGTCTCCCTCTCTGGCAAGCATACACGCCCAATGCAAAAGCCTATACACCCCAAAGAAAAAACCAAAAAAAAAAAAAAAAAAAAAAAAAAAAAAAAAACTATTTTCACCACAGGGCACACGTGTTCTCCAGAAAGATAGAGACAGAGAGGGAAAGTGAGAGGCCGCCCCAGGGAGGATGGCCCTGCTGCAGTCCTTCTCCTCCTGGGATTTTTGCATACACAGGCACATGCACCTGGCATGAGTTTCATGAAGCCATGGGAGTCCAGCACCTCAGCTGCACTCCACCTGCTGGCCCCCTGCATCTGATTATCAGTGGGACTTTCCAAAGCTGAACCATTCCACAGCTCTTGAATTAAGTCTTCCATTCCAACTTTGCTAAGGATAATAAATTTAATACCCCCCCCACACACACACATATAATCATAGAATTAAACCTGATTAAAACAAGAATTACGATGTTGTCAAATGCTTTCCCAAGTCTCTTTCTTTGGATTATTGATAGAATGAAAACTAAAAAGCAGGGTAAGAACTGACTCTGTCAACTCAAAATAGATTCAGTGAGAAAAAAGTGTCACTTAGTGAAGACAGGAGGACATTCAGAGTTGGTGAAGAAGCTGAACTGATTGGTCATGGTTCAAGGGTGCACGGCGCTGGGCCACGCGCTGCCATGGGGCGAAGGGCCTCGGCGGAGCACCATCTGGCCACTAGTGCATGGACTCCACCTCCTAGGATCCTAGGCCTTCCCGAAAAGGTAGGTCGTTTGAGACTGTCAGGCAGAAAAACCAGCGGATGAAAGTGGTGAAGAGGACCTTGTGCTCAGGGCCTATGGAGGCCGTCAGGTTTTACCTGAGCCTTTGTGAAAACAACGCATATTCACCAACCAGACCCTGAAGCCCAGCGGCAGTGGTGCTCAGGGAAAGCGTGGTGGCCGTCTGCTCGCTCTGCCCACCTCACTCTGTCTTGATGAATGAGCCTGGAGGAGTCCGACCCAGTAGTGCCCCAGGATTTGTTTTGAGCTTTTGACCTCTACCTCTTAGGTCGGGCCAGCACGTTGGCAAGGCCGCTGCTGTGAACCCCCCCGCCCCCCCACCCCTGCGACCTAGGAATAAAACTTAGGTCGAATTAGCATGTCGGCAAGGCTGCTTGTTATTTGCTCTGGAAACTGTGGTTGCCTTGCTGGGAAGCGATCCCTCTCTGACTCCCTAATATACTACTATAAAAGAATTACATAGCTCTCTTATACATCCTGAGTATATGATAAAATATTCCAGGAAGTCCCCCAACCGCTCCCCTTTGCTCTGACCACCTGCTGTTAATTACAGTCTCTGGACAGTCACAGTAGAGAGTGTGATAGAGTCACATCTAGGCAGAAATCTTCCTGACCTTTGGAAAGCCCTTCAAGATACATTTAACATAAGCTTAAGAATAATCTTTTAGGCCGAATCGGGCCCAGGGCACTCCCGCCCCTCTATGGCTAATGTTCTAACAAAATACATAGCAGTGGCGCCTCAGGCACAATAGAACGTTTTAAGTATGCCACAAACTCACCTTAAAGTTCATTAACTTGTTAGTCACTTTACCGCCAGTTGAAAAAGCTGTCCTCGCCCTTACCTAGTAAATAGTAGTTTTACTCTTTTAAGATATATTGGGATTCCTTGAATTAAGTTTTAGATTCCTACAAAATTATATAAATTCCGTTCTTTATTGAGATCCATAAGAACTAATATCTATACTTGAGATTTTCTTTTCTCAGCATCGTGCTCGGTAATCACAAGATGTCTGTCGCACCGCATGAGCTGATAATTATCTCTGTTTGCTGGAGCTGCTTTCCTGAAACTGCATTCCATAAAGACCAACCTACATCAAACGAACAATTGTGGAACTGCACTAGACCCACCCTTAATCCAACCCTGAATGGAACCTATACTCCCTATTGTTAAAGCTTTATGAACTGATAATTAGAACATGTAGCACCTCACCCATTTACTTGCATGTATCACATTTTCAATAAAAAGGCACAATAATTCCTAGCAGTGGTCACTCTTCAGAGAGCGATCTCTGAGGGGTGTCCAACTCAGGATGTGCATGAAAAGAGACCTTTGTCTTCTGTTCACCTGCGCCACCTCCGACGAGTCAACCCACCCCCGCCAAGGCTGGATCCCGGCATGAGTCTGTCGCTTCCCAGAGTGCGACACGCCAGCTCCCTGAGGAGGGCCGGATACCTCAGCCCCGCCCCAACTGTCTGCGGTGCATGAGGATAATGAAATATTTCTGTTTCCAAGATCCTTAGCCCCAGTCCCATTGTGACGATGCACTGGGAATCAGTCCCCTCGACTCCTGTCTGTCTGTCTGTCCTGGACCCGTTCAAGCCTCTCCTTCCTCGTCCCCTCCAGTGCACGTTGTCTGCAGGGGCTACTGCTCTGCCTTTCAGGCCCCGCCGGACTTTGCCAGGTCACCTGGCTGCCAGGCCGCCTTGTGAGTGAGGCAGGATCCTCTGCAGCCCCGCCAGTCCTCAATGTCAGCGAGGGCAGACCCTTCACCACCTCACACAGTAGAGGGCTGGTTTCTGAATCAGGGACAACCCTCGCCCTCAGCCCCAGGGAGGGGCTCCCCACTCCCCTCCCCTAATACTCCTGGCTCTTTGGGTGAGCACCTGTCTCCAGAGTCCTCTTCACGGGGGTTGACAGAAACATTCCAGATTTCAAAATGGCGCCACGTGGCCTGGCTCACGACCCACACCCAAGAGGTCAGAGGCAGCCCAAGAGGTGTGGACAAGCCAGTGAGCACGCTCAGACTCAGGCCTGCAGAGAAGGGAGGTGTCCACGGGCCTACAAACTGGCAGGGAATACCCAATGCCCTTTTCAGGCAGAAGGGAAAAACCCAGCAGGGAATACATTACTCTTCAAGAAATTTAACTTTTAAAATGAAAGCTACCAGCTTTGGAGCACTCTCGCTGTGGCAAGAGGACAGACCTCACTCAGCACCCTACACTCAAGGAGTCAGCTGCTCAGGGACCACTGCCTCCTCCAGGCAGGAGGCCACGACTCAGAGCAGCAAGGCCACGGCTTGTCTGAGGCAGGAGCCTCTGGAAAGAGCTCCTGATGCCAAACATCTGAAGCCATCTCAGAGCACACATGCTTTAAACGTGTTTTATATGTTCCCAGGAAAGTGTTCATTCGCTACAGCCTCGGAGGTGAGCGGCAAGTCTCCAAGCCCCCCTCAGAAACACGCTTCTTGTGCAGCTCGGCTGTCACCCTCTGAGGGCACACTCACCTCCGGGAAAAGCAGCCTGCGGATGCTCCCCGCCAAGGTGTGCAGGTAGACGCGGCCCCGGCTGGCCTTCCTCTGAGGGAGGTGCTTCTCTGGGACACCCTGGCACATGGGCAGGCTAGCATCCTGGCTCTCTGCATTTCCTGATGCCTGCTCTGTGGGCTCTTTGGTAGCCTGACCCGGGCCCAGCAGGGAGAAGGGGCACTCCCCCGTGACCCTGAGGTCCTTCAGCTTCGTGCAGAACATGGCGCTTGGGCAGGCGCTGCAGCTGCTCCTGTGGCCGCGTCCTTTGTGGGACTGACAGACGCGCGGTTGACTCACGGCTCCTGGACTGGCCTGTCTGCGGGTGGTGAGAGTCAGAGCAGAGACAGAGTGAGTTTAAACCCTTGGGAGAAGAGAAGTGACAGGTGTGACCCAGCAGGCCAGATAGTCATACATCATTCTCAAATTGAAAAATACAAATTCTGGTGGAAATGCCAGTTATAAACTGAACAGAGCACTTTTTCTCTAAAGGTCTTAATTTAGCAAGTGTGCATTTTAGCACAAGAGGGCTTCAAAACATTTTTGGAGAAATGGAATTAAAGTATGTTACTTTGGTGCAAACTGTTTTGAAATCCATGCATAGTTTCTTCCATACTACATATGTCCTCAAACTTTTTGAAGACCCCCGCAAACACTAGCAAAATGCTGCTTTTAATAACTTAACATTTTCCAGAGTAAAGAACATATTCTCCAAAGTGTTTACAGTACAAACTACTAGTCTCTGCTTTCATAAGCCACTCGGTCCGGCCACGCCCACCACAGGGGGTCCTCGCTGCAAACACAGACCAGCACAGGCTGGAGACACGGTCTCCCTCCTCAGAAACGAGTTTTTAAATGAGCCACTGCGTTTACTTACAGCTCAGTCCAACTTGCTGAGCCCTGAACAGGCTAAGACCACTCTGAATCTCTGAATGGGTAAGGCATTGGGGTTGGCACGGCTGAGGATGATTTTTGTTTTTGTTTTTGTTTTGCTACAGGGCACGTGCACTCGCCAGAGAGAGACAGAGAGACAAAAAGCAAGAAATCGCACACACCCCCCCGGAAGGGATCTGTGTCCCAAAGGAGACCCCCAGTGAACCGCACGCACCCAGGGCGGGTAGACACAGGCCCCACCCAGCTATGAGGGGCCTGTGCCTTCATCTCGGACCCCCGGCCTCCAGACCATGAGAAACGAAAGTCTGTTGTTACAGACCACCGTCTGGGGTCCACAGCGGCTGCTGACACCAAGACAGACCACCGCTCCAGCAGAGCCTAGAAACACATCAGACTGTATGGTTGGAACTGGTTCACAAGGTCTCATAAAGAGTGCTGCATGTCACAGGGCCCCAGCCTCACCCAGGGATCACAGTATGGCCCACTCAGGGACCGTGGCGCGGCCCCACTCAGGGATCGTAGCACGCTCCCACTCAGGGATCACGGCACGGCCCCACTCAGGGATGCAGGACGGCTCTCACTATTACAAAGTAAAGTCCCTGCCAGGGCCCTGGACTCCATCTTGCACCCTCTTTACCCTCTGCAGTCTCACTGGAGTCCCCTGGGGCCACACAGCATCGTTTCCCTGGGCGCCGACAAGCTTCCTGCACCCCAGCAGGAGCCTGTGCACATGGCATGCCGTCCCAGGCCGAATGAGGAAGCAGGTGCCGAGCAACAGTTACTGCAGCATTGGGGACACGACAGGGCAGCGAGCCCACAGGGGACGGCCGGGCACTCTCAGATGCCAAAGAGCAGGGAGGGTCTGAGCTTGTCCCAGAACCATAGTATAAGATGTGGGGCCTCTCGGCAAGTGGGCGAGGGGCACAGACAGCACAGCACACACTCAGACACACACAGACACTCAGACAGAGAGACACACAGAGAGACTCAGACACACACAGACACTCAGACACAGACACTCAGACACATACAGAGAGACTCAGGCACACACAGACACACACACACACACAGACACTCAGACACAGAGCGACTCAGACACACACAGACACTCAGACACACAGAGACTCAGACACACACAGAGAGACTCAGACACACACACAGACACTCAGACACACACATAGACACTCAGACACACACAAAGACACTCAGACACACACAGACACTCAGACACAGAGAGACTCAGACACACACACAGACACTCAGACACACACAGAGACACTCAGACACACATGTACATACCCATACACCACGGTACACACACACTGGCAGACACAGACACACTCACATACACTCAGACACACACATGTACACACCCATACACCACGGTACACACACTGGCAGACACACACACAGACACACAGACACACACAGAGACACACAGACACACACAGACACTCAGACACACACATGTACACACTGGCAGACACACACACACACATACATACCACTTCTCTGCTCTCTCGGAACACCCTCTCCTCTGCCTAGAACCTTCTTCCCAAAAGTCTCCAAATGCACAGCCCATAGCTCCATGAGGTCCAACGTCCTGATCCTGTTTCAAATTCTTGGCCGAGTCCAGATGTTCCCTGAACAGCCCTCGCCCATCTCACCTGAGGGTTCCCTCCCTTCCCTTAAGCTCCCAGGAACTGCCCCACAAATAGGCTCCTGGCTAAGTGTCTGTGAGCAGAGCTCTGCTGTTTCAGGCTTATCTTCACACGCAGACCCTGTGCTTCTCCAGGCTGGCCTGTGTCATAAACTGTGCCTGTCACTCCCCCGAGACAAGGCAGACCTCGATAAGCTGCTGAGAGACATGGACAATGGCTGACCCTTGAAGAGTGTCCTAGAAAACAGTGGTGCCCCTGGGGTGGTGACAACTGCCAGATGGCAAGGCTGGCACTTCCATGAGAGGTGGGCGTGACTGCTGGGGAGTGAGGAACGCAGACCACCGCACTTTGCCCCCCAAGAAAGCAGCACTCGTGATCACAGCAGGACCGCGGTCATGAGCGATCGAACTCCAGAACAGGGTGGCCCTGCGTGCTCTGCATTCACGCACCCCCCTAACCTGCGGAAGTTACACCACCGAGTACTCAGGGGTAACATGAGGGGATTGTGACGTAGCGGGCAGTGGACCCAGTGGCAGAGCTGGTGGGTCCTGCCAGCAGGGCCCTGAGCCGTTCACTCTGCACGTCACTCCAGGTGCACCGGCGTGGCCCGCAAACTGCGGTGGCTGTTGTGTGCGGGCGTGAGCCGGTGCAAGAGCACAATGCCAGAATACCTGTGTCCCTCTGCGTCTCCACAGGGCGACTGGCATCTGTCCCACAGAACCTGTGGTGCAGTTCAGCCAGGACTGTGGAGTAAGGCGCCAATGACTGAGATAACTGAAGCACTGTCGGCCATCCCTTAAGCCACAGTTGCAGAGACTTGCTTCCCCATGGGCCAGAAAAGGCCATTGTGTCACGTGGCCCAGCCAAAGCCACAGCAGGGAAGGGAAGACCGAAAATGAGGCTGAGCTTGGAGGCGGGGCTGGCAGAGCTGGGAGGAGAGACAGGCCAGGGCCAGATTGAGGCCCTCCCAGGTGAGCAGTCGGCAAGGAGAGGAGTCGGCACATGGAGGAGTCAGGGAGGGCGCCGGGCGGTGTGACGGCACAGGGCTGAGCAGCGAGGCCAGGCCAGGTGGGCAGCGGGGTCTCAGGCTGGGTGTGGGCAGTCGGGGAGAGAAGAAAGCAGGCCATGCTGAACCCTGGAGCACCCCAAAGACAGCAGAGCAGGTGGAGGCCAGGCATGGGGACACTGAGTGACCTCTTCACACGATGGCAGATTTAGGGCAGGAAGAAGCACCTCTGCCTTCTGGGCTCTCAGGAACGCACGTGTTCTGGGGTCAACAGCACGGGCGGTAGAGAGAGGAGACAGCACAGACACGGAGAAGGGACAGCACAGACACGGAGAAGGGACAGCACAGACACGGACAGAGGGGACAGCACAGACATGGACAGAGGGGACAGCACAGACATGGACAGACAGGACAGCACAGGACACGGACAGACGGGACACCACAGGACATGGACAGAGGGGACACCACAGGACATGGACAGAGGGGACAGCACAGGACACGGACAGACAGGACAGCACAGGACATGGACAGACAGGACAGCACAGGACATGGACAGACAGGACAGCACAGGACACGGACAGAAAGGACAGCACAGGACATGGACAGACACGACAACACCGAGATAGACAAA